CCCAGGTCTCCGTGACCCAGAACTTCACTGGCTGCTCTTTTTTGCACGTAGAGCCTTGGCAAAAGAAATGGGCCTCACTGAGGACCCCCCCCCCCCGCTTAGCCTGCAGCTTCCCCGTGTGAGTTCCGAATTTGGGGAGATGGCAGAGAGCAGGGGGCATTGGGTATCAAGGAGAGGAGGGGCCAGTGCCTCTCCAGAGGGGAGCTGGTAGACGCCTAGAGCCCTGAGTCTTCAAAAGCAATCAGCTTTTTGTTCTTGGAAGATGACATAACCGGTATCATGAAAAGCCAGGAGGCTCCCCCACATAATTAGACAGAGGCCTGAGTTTTACAGGGCTTGGGGCCCCTAGCTAAGCCCTTGGCACTCGATTCCCCTGGACAGAGCCTTCCCTCCTGAGGCTGGAGCTGGGCACGGCCTTTAGCTCTCATGGGGCACGCTGCTCTGCTGGTTTCTCCTTCTCATTTCCTCAGACACAGAGAGCAAGAGGAGGCCTGGTCACCTAGCCCCAGCTGCCCCTTCTGGCTGCATGGGGCATGTGGGTAATCTGGATGGGATGCTGAGGCATCAGGCCGCTTGCAGACAGGCTCTGGGGGCTGGCCGTACCCGCCCTCCCAACACACACAGAGCAGCCCCTCGCCTCCACTGAGGACTGGGCAGCAGGGACAGGATCACCCAGGGCAGTGTTGAGAAGCTCCCCGCAGGTCTATGGGTGAGGTCCGGGCCGAAAGCAGGGCTGACTTCTGTCAGGTGTGCACCTCTGACCTGATTGCTGACAAGTCCACCCCCCGCGTGGACTCTTGTTTGCCTCCTGTTTGTCTGTAAATTAATGTGCTTAAAAAAAACCCAAACCCTTACATACTTGTATATAAAAAACAAAGGGAGCGTTTCTGGCAGGCAAATGTCTTTGTTGTGTTTTTCTTGCCCTTATTTTTATGATCGCCTATTTTGGGCAAGAAAGAGGTTTTCTGTTTGTGGTCGACATGGGGCTATGGCAGAACTCGGCGTGCGGGTGACGGAGGGCTGGATTTTGGGAACTGGGACAGTTTGAGCTGGCAGAGTAACAGAATCCCAGACCGGAAATTGGGGAGCTGGACCCTGGAGAGGAAATCGTCCCAAGACGGGACTGGCTCGTGCAACCCCAGCAATGGAGCAAGATGTGGGAGAGTAAGGAGAGCTGGAGAGGCGGAGAGGGACAGACACAGAGCAAGAGGAAAAGCGAGGGAGATAGGCACCAAGAGGTGAAGGCAGCTGAGGCAGGGAGGGTGGGGGGAGAGAACGTGAGCTTGTGGACAGGCGTCCCTCCCCTTTGCCAGGACAGAGCCCGAGCCACCCTCGATAGAGGCTGTTTGACCTTGGGCGGTGGCCCGCTTGCCAGAGGATGCCTGTCTTCTTTAGGAAGCAGCTCGTGTTGCCAGGACTCCCTGATTAACCTGGAACCAGCCAGAGCCTCAGTGGGAGAGCCTCAGCGTGCCCTTGCCCCCGTGGGAGGCTCCACCACTGATATGCTCAGGTGGCCTCCCTGCATCTGGGCAGAGCTGTGTCCCTATCTCACCAGAAGCCCCAGCAAAGCAGAAAAGCCTGGGCAGAAGCCATATCAGGGTTTTTCCTCGTAAGCCAACAGCAGGGTGAGCGTTGGCACTGGTTGGACTCTATGTCATGGGCCAAGAAGGGGAGACAGGGGCCGCCTCCTCTTTCTCCAGGCTGATTAGCAAGGGCCAGGAAGCTGGGCCAGCCAACCAGGGATTCTGAGGTGCTGGGTCCCCTCTAATGCTCTGGCATGTTTCTTTTCTACATTCTGGTCTTCATGTTCCAGTTCATTAGGCAGGACAGGACCCCATTTCTCCATGGCTCTGCCAATTCAGAAGGCCTCAGGGGCCTCAGGATGGTTCCTCCTATCCCATCATGACTCCCTGAGCATTCCGATAGGTGGGAGCCCACCATCAGGATTTACTTTGCTTGCTTCTGGCCTGTTTGAAATCCCTCACCAACATCCAGTATCCATAGCAGAAAAAGAAAGTGGCAAAAAGATGAACAGAGGCAGACGGGAGAGGGACAGAGAAAGAAACACAAAGTCCCTAAGACAGAGAGAAACCAAGAAAGATGAGGAAGAGAGAGAGAAAGATCACACACACACACACACACACACGCGTGAGCGCGCACCCCCCCCCAGCCCCGTGTGAAATGTGCGCCGCTCACTTTAGTTGGTGTGTCTGGACATCCACTGGCTTAGTGAAGGTTATTCCCTTTTTATTCCCTGTCACCTCGAAGCACTTCAAGGACACGGTCCCAGTTGATGCTCAGGTGTCTTTAACACTGACTAATCTTGTTTCAATCAAGACAGACACAGAAAGGTTCAGGCTTAGAACCTTCTGGAGCCAACAGATTCTAGCTAGGATTCTGTTAGTGTTTACTTAGTATTTATGTTTGAGGTGACCTTTTAACAGAAGGTGCTACTGATGGTCCTTTAAAGACAGCGATGTAGATTTTCCCTTTAAAAATACTCTTATCTAGGGGCACCTGGGTGCCTCAGTCGGTTAAGCGGCTGCCTTCAGCTCAGGTCATGTTCCCAGGGTCCTGGGATTGAGCCCCACATCGGGCTCCTTGTTCAGCAGGGAGCCTGCTTCTCCCTCTCCCTTTGCTTGCCGCTCTGCCTGCTTGTCCTCTCTCTCTATCTCTCTGTCAAATAAATAAATAAAATCTTAAAAAAAATAAAATCTTAAAAAAAATAAAATAGTTATTTATATTTTAAAAGTGATTGTTAAAAAGTAGTAAGTAACTTATAGTGCAGGTGCTTTTGAGAATATGGCAAGAATCACGAAAGTAGTTCTCCAGGGTCTGGAGTTTGGCACACGGTGGCTTTTAAGTCTAAGCTTCCCAGCTAAGATACCAGCCCTGCAGGCCCAAGTACTGGCCCTGTCCACTGTGCTCTGCTCACCTCTGCTCTGCCCCTCACTCTGCCCAGTCTCTGATTCCAGCCATCCTGACTCTCCAATCCCTGGCTCCGCCCAGTCCCGGACTCCACCCAGTCCCGGACTCCGCCCAGTCCCTGATTCCACCCATCTCTGACTGTCCAATCTTTGGCTCCGCCCAGTCATTGACTTCGCCCAGTTACAAATGCTGCCCAGTCCCTGATTCCACCTATCCCTGACTGTCCAGTTCCTGACTGTCCAATCCCTGGCTCCTCCCAGTCTCTGATTCCACCCATCCCTGACTCCGCCCAGTCCTTGGCTCCGCCCAGTCCCTGATTCTGTCCAGTTCCTGACTCCGCCTAGCTCCTGACTGCGTTCAATGCCTGACTCTGCCCAGGGCATGTTTCAATACCAGGTTCTGTTCAAAGTGAGAATCCATATCTTCTAAACCAGGTCAGCCCAGTACAGCTGGAGGGCCATATCTGGTCCACCACCTGTTTCTGTAAAGTTTTATTGGGACATAGCTACGCCCATTCACTTACATAGTATCCAAGACTGTTTCCTGCTTAGTTGAGTAGTTGCAACAGAGACCATATGACCCACAAAGCCTAAAATATTTAGTATTTGACCCTTTGCGGTGGATATTTGCCTACCCCTGTTCTGAATGACAACAGATCTGCTTGGGTTGGGGGCTGGGGAAGGGAGAAGTGTGGGGAGGTCACGGGTATGTAGTGGGGGCATCAAAGTGGGAAGAGGGTGGAGAAACCACTGGGGGTAGACAGAGCACCCTTCTGGGAGTCCAGAGACTTGGCTTTCAGCAATGGCTCTGCACCACCCTCCTGGGTGACCTTGTGCGAGGGACTCTGGGTAAGTGCACAATCTCCAGACAAATCATTGCCCCACACAGCGATAACCGAGATGCTCAGCATGCTCTGGAGAGGGACGTCGAGGACAAAACCTCAGCCCAGTTTATCGATGAGAAGTGCTTTAATCTGAGGAACACGTCAGACTGCATCAGCTTCTTCCACGGCATGGAGAAAGTCGATGGCACGTAAGTACTGGGCTCTTGGTCCCCATCTCTAGCCAACCTGATGGGAGTGAGGGCTTCTGGGTCTGCTCCTGCCAAGGAACCATAAAGGGTCATCATGCACCAGTCAAGTAAGAAGCAAAGTGGGTGAGTGGGGATCCTTGGTTGCAAGCCACAGAATCCAATTCTAGCCAACTTAAGACAAGATGGATTTACTGGAAATTTGTGGGGGAGCCACAGTCTTCAGGAGAAGGCTGAGGGGAAGGTTCTGGCAGCTTAAGTGAGCCAGGAAGTGGGAGCTAATCAGCTGTATTGTCAGAGCACGAATGTCTCTTCATTTTTGCCCCGTTTTGCCCAAGATTCAAATTCCAGCAAGAGGGTGCAAGAGATTGGCTTAGGGAGGGTCACACAGCCACCGCCATTGGGCCAAGGCGTGCCAGGCACCCGGATTGGCAATTCCACCAAACAAATTCAGAACAGAATGGCTGTAACCAGAAGGAAGAGGGATCCAAGCTCAGCTGGGAGAGCCAACTGGACCCAGGCTGCCTGGCTTCACATTCAGCCTCTGTACTCACACTCGGGGCAAAGTACTTAATCTCTCTGCCCCACCCCCCCGTACAGGAATAAAAATAGTGCCCAACTCCCAGAGTTGCTATGAGTATGAAAAGGTGGGTATGTGGGGCACTGAGCACAGAGTCTAGTGTGGGGGAGTGACAGCGACTAACATGTATTGAGTGCTTGCCGTGTGACCTCATTTTCTTGTCACAGCAGCTCCAAGGTAGGTGCCTTCTGTGTGCCTGGCTCTGTCGTGGGCATGTCACTGTTTCTGGAATTTCAGGCAGAAGGAAGGCATGTTTTCCCAGTCAACAGGCAGTCCAAGGTCCGGGATAATGAGGGCTGGACAGAGTAGTGCTCTGGGTACAGGGACAGGGTGTTATCTATCCTGGTCTCTTAAAAAAAACGGGGGGGGGGATGCCTGGGTGGCTCAGTCGTTAAGCGTCTGCCTTCGGCTCAGGTCATGATCCCAGGGTTCTGGGATTGAGTCCTGCATCAGGCTTCTTGCTCAGCGGGGAGCCTGCTTCTCCCTCTGCCTGCCACTCCCCCTGCTTGTGCTCTCTCTCGCTGACAAATAAATAAAATCTTAAAAAAAAAACAAACCAGAAAACTTCTAGCACAATATAATGTGCTGGGCACATAGTAGGTGTGCAGTAAGTGTTTGTTGAATGAGCGAATGAATGAAAAGAGGAAGGGAGGGAGGGAAGAGAAAGAGGAAAGGATTTTCATGGCAATCTCCTTGGCCTGAGCCCAGGGCCACCTCCTGGACCTTAGTAAATATCAAAGTGTTGCAATGAGCCTTTGGGGTTTCCGGCAGTGGCAACCAGTGGGGACCCTCCTCCTCTTCCTGACAAGGCGATCCCCCCCGCACCGCCCCATGGTGCTGGCTACGTGAGCAGGACTTCAGGGGCCTCAGGCCCCTCTGCCGAAGCTGCCCATCTGGAGTGGGAGTCTGGACGGTTCCCTTCCCAAACAGATGCCTCCCTGAAAGCTCGTGGCCAGGGGCTGGCAGAGATTGGGGCGGACAGCAAGTGCTGTAATCACCACATGTGCTAGCCCAGGGCTCTCTGTATTGGGGGTTTTCTTAAAGCAGGGCCGTGTCTGGGCAGGCAAAAGGAGACCGAATGCAGGAGCTCTGCTCACCCAAGTTCTTGTCGCCGTGGGTTAACTGATGAGTGACGGTGCCGACAGTAGGTGCCCTTTACCTGATGTTTGCTGAGGGCTAGGCCCTGCTCTTTGTAAACAGCGTCTTGTGAATCATAAACACTTACCAAGGGCTTGCTGTTGCCAGATGCTAAGATAGTGGTTTCATCTTTGGTCCTTCACCAACCCCGGGGAGGGGGTAGACACCATTATTATCCCCATTTTACAATGAGGAGACTAAGGCTCAGAGAGTTGAAGCAACTGGACCAAGCTCATGCAGTGAGTGGGAGAGCCACAGTCTGAGCCCACGTTGGACACGGAGCCCGTGTGTTTTATCTCGGCACCTTCCTGCCTCCCAGCAATGCCCGCTGCTGTCTCCACCATCCTTAGAGGACACAGGCCCCATAAAACACGTCCCGCCTACTGAGGCACACCACCTTCCAGCAAGACAAGCTGCCTCTGGTACATTCCCCCCAGGGAGAGTGTGATTAAGCGGGTTATTTTCTCTGGACAGCACAGCTGTCTGCTCCAGGGGAGAGCGAGGGCTTAGAGCTTGCTGCTCCTGACCTTGACAGTGCCCTGTTCAGCAGCAGAGACACACTCCGAGTCCATGTGCGGTCTCCCTCTGCTGTCCTTGGTGCTCCCCCCACCCCTTCCTGGATTGATGGTGAGTAGCTGTGTGACCTTGGAAAAGATGCTTCACCTCTCTGAGCCTCAAGTGTTTGTTGGCTAAAAGGTCTGGGTCAGACACCATGACCTGTCCCATCTCCAGAAGGCCAAGACCTACCCCCCCCACTACTGCTTGATTTTTTTAATTCCTGCCAAAGACAGACAAGATGATCACATATGATGTGTTCTTCTTAAAATTTCTATTCACCATGCAATCTAAGTGTGCTTTAAATGTCTGAAAAGAGACTTCTATTTCGGAAAATTGAGTTTCTCTCTCTCTCTTTTTTTTTTTCTACTGCCCGAGAAGGAAGATATTTTATTTAAGAACTGGAGATTTCCCAGCTAGAAGAGACCGTAAAAAGTTACCCAGTCTGGTTTACCCTGGAACTGAAGCCAGCTCAGGGAAATGCATGTCCCTCCTTCTCAGAGGCTTCCCAGAGGAGAAGACCCCCATGCCTGCCTGTACATCAATTGTGTGGTGCAGGGGGTTACGCACTCGGCCAGGAAGTACTTTCTGTTGTCTAAACTGAATCCCTTATGCTTCACTGCCTCTGAGAAGGTTTCCCTGCCTGGCTTTTCTGATCAAGTCTGTGTCTCCGAGGTTCATCCCCCCCCCAGATCCATTCTCCCGCTGCCCTGATGTGAGTCCTGCAGCCGAGGCTGCCCACTGCAGACTGTCTTTCCATCTGGTTCCCGCTGGGGTTTAGCCAGGAGGAGGGGCACCCACGGGAGGCGGTGGGCAGGAGGAGGAGGAGGTTGGGGGTTTATTCTTCCTGCTCCTTCCCTCTCCTTTGGCCCTCAGTGGTGACAGCTTTCTACATTTACTAATCCCGGAGCCCCTCAACACCCTCTGATCCTTTTTCTTTCCTTTTAGGACCCTGACAGGCACATAAAGCTGGGATTTATAAAACTCCATCAGCCTGTCCTTCCCCGGCTAAAGTCCCTCCTAGCACATATACCGTGTGTCAGTATCTTCTTTCTTTGATGTTCGTCTTCCTCTGCTGGAAACGTAGCCCCGTGAGGACAGGGCTGTTGATGTTCTTGTGTCTGGGTCTATCCCAAGTGCCTGGAACAATGCTTGGCGTGTGGTAGGCATTCAGAGAACATTCATTGAATGAGTGAGTCGGGGCAGGCAGGATGGCCACGTGCTCATTGCTGAATTGAAGGGGCTCTACAGCCAGAATCGAGCCCCGATGCCTGCTTCTCAGCCAGTCTCCATGGTGTTGGTGGTGGTAGTGAGAAGGGAGTGCTTGGGAAAAGAGCTTTTCAAAGGAATCTCTCTCTCCTCCCATGAAACTCACCAAGTACCCTTTGAAAGATCAGTGCTTGCTAGGCTGCAGTTGCCTGCCCTGGAAAATGGGGTGGGGGTTTGGATTAGCCCAGTGGTTCTCGATGGGGGGCAGTTGTTAACCCCTCTCCCAAGGGACATCTGGCGATGTCTAGAGACATTTTTGATTGTCACGACTGGAGGGCCGAGGGGCACTGCTAAACTTCATATAGTGCCCAGGGTGACTCCCCCCAACAGAGAATGGTCCCAACCCAGATGTCAAGAGTGCCCAGGGTGAGGCTCTGGATTGGGGGTTCTCCAAGGCCTGCCTTCCACCCCCTGCCCCTGATTGCTGTCTTGTGTTAAGTTCATCCCTGTGCCTCCTGCAGGATCTCTGTGCCCGAGACCTGGGCCAAGTTCAGCAATGACAACATCAGGCACTCACAGAACATGAGGGCCAACTCCATCCGGCTGCGCGAGGAGGCTGAGAATCTCTTTGAGGCCTTGTCAGATCAGATGTGGAAGCAGTTTACCCACACCAACCTGGCCTTCAGTGCCCGCATCTCCGAGGTGACAGACGCGAAGAATAAACTGCAGGCACAGCTGGCGAAGGTAAGCGAGATGCGCCTGAGGACGGCTGTCCACCCGGCTGAGTCCTCACCCACCTCCCGACGGTCTCGGCAGCATCTGGCCAAGCTGCCCACAGGCCCCTGGGGCTGCACCGGTCCTACCATCCCAGATCCAGGAGCCTGTCCCGCGCCCCCCGCCGAAAGGGGAGGGGGCCGTGAGCGTCGCAGGGGGATTCCAGCATCTGGGGTAGATCCTTCCCTGCTCCCTTGATGATGGAGCTTGGAGCATAGCCTGGCCGTCTCACGGCCCCCAGGGTCCTTCATTCCATCCGAGGGCCTTGCAGCGGAACATGACCAATGAGTGTGGGTACAGTTATCAGAGCCCCAGGAAATGGGCCCAAGCAGCTCTCCGCCCACATCGGCATCTTTGGAAATGTAACCTTTTGACCTTCAAAGACTTCCATAGCATCAGGGGTGAAGGACTGCCTGATTTTGTCACTATCTCCTTCTACTGCCATATCCCTTTCCCTTTCTACTGCTCCTATGGGAATGCAGCGTAGTGTGGTCTCTCACCTCTGGGGGTGGGGCGGGGGGCCCTCTGCATGGAATTCATCCTCCCTGCTCTGCCTACGCTCAGTGAGCCTACTGCGTGCCAGATGCTTGCCGGCCACTAGGAGTGAAAGGAGGGGCTGTGCGAACAATCCCCTGGTCCCTGTCCTCAGGGGACTTGCATTCTGGTGGAGGCTGTGAAATATGCACACGGGAAGGACTTAGGGATGACAGTCTGATGGTGGGGGGCGGGCAGGGGACTAGCCTTGAACCTGCATTCACAAAACAGAGTTTTAGATATGAAGGTATGTGTGCGTGTATATATATATATATATGTATATATGGGGGGCAGTTAGTGGGCTGCATGCAAGGTTCAATGGAAATGAGACAGGGGTGGTGTAAGCCCCCCACAGATGCCACCCTATATATAGCCTCAGGTATGGAGGGGGCTGAGGAAATGGAAGTTTCTAGGATGAGGGAAGAGCAAGGAGATGCATCAGGGCTTCTCATAGAGTCCTTATACTAGGTGGCCTCAGGAGCAGGTCACTAGGGAGCTGGGCAGCCAAGGCATGGTGGGAAGAGTGTTCCTGAGAGCAGCCAGTGAGTGCAAAGGCCATGTGTGTGATGAGGTTGGAGCAGGCTCAGGTCATACAGATCCTGGTAGGTCCTGGTGAGGAGTCCAGATTTTATGCTGAGAACAGTAGAGAGCCTCAGAAGGATTTTAAGTGAAAGGCGTTGGGATCCACTCTCATCCTTAGGTGGATCTCTTTCCCTCCTGGATGGAACAGGGTTGCAGGGATCAAGAGTGGACACAGAGAGAGTGGTTAAGAGGCTGTGGAAGGTGTCCAGTGAGAAGGATGGCCGTCTGTGCCACGGTGGTGGTGTCAGATGGGAGGGGGAAGGGAGAGATGTGAAATATCTTGAGAAGGCAGTTAGTAGATGGACCTTCCCTCCCTTGTTTACTGAACATTTTTCTATTAATCTTCCCAAAACAGGGTTGAGAAACTTTTTCTGTAAAAGGCCAGGTCCTATTTTCAGCTCTGCAGGCCTTTCGGCTTCTGTCACAATGACTCAGTTCTGCTCATGTAGACGGCCATAGGCAGTATGGACACAAATGAACATGGCTGTGTTCCAATAAAACTTTATTTACAGAACTCAGCAATGGGCCGGATGTGGCCCACCGGTTGCAGTTTGCTGATTTTGCTGACTACAAATGCAGTTTTATGTAGTTTATCATCGCTCCTTCCACCCCATAGCATGTGGTTAGAAGCATGGATGGAGCGTGGCTGCCTGGCTGTGAATCCTGGCTCCACCATCTCTGCAACCCGGGACAGTTTCCTTAACCTCTCTGTGCCTGAGTTTCCTCATCTGTAGAATGGGGATAATAATGGTTCTGACCTCAAGGCTGCCAGAAGGATTATTTGAGTCAATGTGGGGAAACCAACTGAACCACAGTGTTTTGTCCACAGTAAGCACTGTGTTGGTGGCTGTGATTTAATATATTTAGTTGGTTTACTTGTCCATGTCTCTCCAGGACATCAATCCTGATTCAGCTATGTAGCCCCCTGCTTCATGTACCGCCTGGCACATAGTAGAAACCCCTTAAATCTTTGTTCGATGATTGAGAGGAACCTACAAGGTTGAGTTGCCTGTTGATATTTTTTAAAGAATGATCCATGAATGAGTTAATGCTTTTAATTTCAAGCCTTTTTTTCTTTCTTTTCCTTCCTTCCTTCTGGGAAAAAAATGTCCTATTATTGCCATTAAATAAACATAGCAAAAAATGTACCATTGTTTTAGTCGTTCAGGCTAGGTAGCTTATAAACAACAGACATTCATCTCTCACAAGTCTCAGTATCAGGATCAAGCCATGGGCACATTCGGTGTCCGGGGGCAGCTCACTTCTTGGTCCACAGACATCGTTTTCTTGCTGTGTCCTCACATGGCTCTCCGAGGTCTCTCTTATCACAGCACCAATCTCATTCATGAGCCTATTGGTGACCTAATCACCCCTCCAAGACCCCACCTCCTTTTACTGTCACAATGGGGATTAGGTTTTGACACGAATTTGGGGAGACACCTTCCGTCCATAGCAACCACTGTGAAGTGTATAGTTCACTGGTGTAAGGTACCTTCACACTGTTCTGCAACCATCACCACCACCTGTCTCCAGAACGTTTTCCCTTCTTCCCAAGCTGAAAAGAACGCCTGTGTTTAATTAACTCCGTGCCCATTAAACCACTCCCCAGTCCGCTGTCCCCCTGGCAGCCACCACCCTCCTTTCTGTCTCTTATGAACTGACCAGTGCAGGTCACACTTCCACACGAGTGGAATCATACACTATTTGTCCTTTTGTGACAGGCTGATTTCACCGAGCAGATCGTGTCGGAATGGCCTTCCTTTGCAAGGCTGGACAGTATCGCATTGGACATGTGAACCGTGTATCCATTCCTCCTCGGGGGGACACTGGGGTGGCTTTTTGGTTATTGTGCAAACATTTTCTCTCTCTTTTTTAAAGATTTTATTTATTTGTGGGGGCTGTCGCGCACAAGCAGGGGCGGGGGCAGAGGGAGAAGGAGAAGCAGACTCTCCGCTGAGTGTGGAGCAGATACGGGGCTCCATCCCAGGACCCTGAGATCATGACCTGAGCCGCAGTCGGACGCTTAACCGACTGAGCCACCTGGGTGCCCCAAAGGAAGATCAAGCATTTTTTCTTGATGAGGCTTTTCATATTGTGGGTCAAATACAGAGCCTTGTCATGTTTCATGGCATGAGGTGTGAGGCCTGGAGGTGACTTGGGAAGCTCCTTTGGTGGGTGTCAGTGGCTGGTTTCTCATCCGTGAAACAGGAAATGAGACCTCTTACTTGATGATGTTACTTAGAGTTGATCAATGCATAGATTTCTGTGGCATCCTTAGCACAGTGCTTGGCACATGGTAAACATTCAATAAAAGGTAACGCTAAGCATTCATGTTGTTGTCAATGAGGAGAAAAAGGATCTTTTGGGTGGAGGTGGGGAGGAAAGCCTTTTCCCTGAATTTCTCCAGGGAAGTTTGGGATTATTACTAATAGTCTCATTCCCACCGATGAGAGAGTTTTTGCAACCGTGTGGATTTTTATTAATGTTCATTATCTAATGACCAGCTGCTTTGCAAATAAGCCAGCACCCATTTGAAACACACCAAACCCCAGCCCGACACATTGACAACACTCCCTGAGAGAGGACTTGTCTTCTGGTTGGTGATGATCCCACGTTGTGTTTTTCTAAGACAATAAAAGGAATTGAGGGAACGAAAATAAACATATAGCAACCATTTCACCTTTCGATGGTTTGCTTCAGCTGGAGGATTTGAAACGCTCCCTTTAAAATTTTAACTTAATTGTTGAGCTCAGCCTGATTCTCCTTGTTAAGAAGCATTTCTGGAGAATTCTAGGCCCCCATCTTCTCCTGGGCTGCAAAGGAAGTATTGCCCTAGTTGTCATAAGAATCCACTTGGAAAGACCAGGTCTACACAGTTTCCCATGCAGACTTTGAATCCAGCAGGGGTTTGGGGGTATATAGACAATCTTAGCTGTTCACCGTGATCCTAGGGTTCCATCCCTAAGTCCACACCCCAAACCTTGGAACTTGGCCTGGACCTTGTCCATGTATTTCATCCTTGCGCTCTGGGGCCTAGGGTGTGTCCCGGTCATGTTGACCTCTGCCAGAAGAGAGGCTGGTGACTTCTCTGGGCTGAAGCAGTTGATGACCGGGAGCAGACTGCTGCCTTTGAGAACCGATGCCTTCTGAGAGCCGCCCCCGCCCCTCCCCAGGACTCCAGATCAGCTTAAGTGCCCACCTGTATCCAGTGACCCAGTGCCTTGTAGGGGTGGGCTCTTAATGTGGGGGAAAGGCGTGAGGGGGGGAGGTATGGGGACACTGCTATAGAACAGTGTTTATCCTGAAGTGTGGGAGCCAGGCCCTGGCAAAGGCAAGTGACAGTGGGTGTATCACAGGCAAGAAAGTGGTTCTTCCTTCAATCCTGTTTCAGTCCTTGACATGATCTCAAGGCGAAGTCCTGATCACATGCTAGAATGCCTTCTTGGCCTCTTTTAAACAGAGAGTGCCGGCCTCGGGCTAAGAACTTGGGACAGACGGCAGCGTCTAGCCAGAGTTTAAGTAATATGGTTGTACGTGCATCTCGTTTCTGCATTTTTATGGTTGTTTGCACTTAAGGCAAATGATGCGGATTTTCCACTGATCAGAGTGATACAAAGTTTTATTTTCGAATAAATGCTTTTGAGGGTTTTTTTTTTTCCTAACAATTGAATGGATTTGCAGAAAAGGTTGTTCATGGTGGGATGCATGGTGTGAGGGGGTATGGCGGACGTGGTAAGGGTGGTCGGTGGCAGCCTGACTCTTGGGAAGCAGCAGTGTGGACCCGTGTGTGTTAGATATGATTGCGTGTGCACTAACTGCAGGTAGTACCCGGGTATTGCACTGAAGTGCAGATT